ATCCATCTCACTGACTTATTTGTGTATTCCTCATAAGCTTCGTGATTATTCAATCCCTGATCTAAGATCTGCGTTCCGCCCCGTGCAGTTAGTGGTTACTCTGAGATTAGATGGTGCTATAGTTTAAATTTATAGTCTAAATCCATAACCATCACCAATCACTTAAAAATGACATTAACGTACAGAAAAATGTAATGTTAATGACAAAAACTTAGTTACATTTTTTTAATATCAAAAATATATTATAATTATATATTAACAAGATGGGTTAATATATAATCACACAATAATATAAACACAAATCTTTAATCTGAACTATTTGGTATATTTTACACAGTTCCAAAAGTTACCTATATCGTTATTTGACATAGAAATATATAGACATGAAATATATCTATTATTCTAAATAAAGCCATACTGTTAGCTATGACTTTTTGAAAACAAGTTTAAAGTTTAGTGACAACTATAGATTCTGTCCATAGGTCCCATCATTTTGCTTGCGATTGTACTGTGATTCTCAGAAAAATACTCCAGAATCAACATTTTAGAACATATATTGTTAGATTATTGGATCTCAAAAGACATTCTTCAGTACCATAGTTACAATAAACTGTGATTTGATATTACTCTTATATACCATTGTATATTATGAATGAATATATAAAAAAGGACTTTGATATACTTGATGATGTACAGACGCACCGCTACCATTTTTTGATTTGTAATTCAGTTTCATTCAATATACACTCCATCACAGACACTATTGATTAAAAGTACTTTAGACAGTAACTTGCATTTCATCAATAAATGAAGAAAAACAAGACTAATAATCAAAAAAAGATCATTTTAACGGCAGTAATGACAACAGTGACTATTTTACTTAATAGAAACTATTGTATTTAATGGACAGCCAAAAATTAAATTAATTAAAAATAATAAAAAAAAATTATGTTCTTCTAATTCGCTACTGTTCGAAACCTCCCAATCATAATTATTGTCATATTTACAACTATTATTGCAATCCCATTTAAGCATATTATTAACTCTCCTTGGATAACAATTGTCAAAGTTAAGAGGTTGCATCAGATCTTCCATTATGCAGTGTCTCCAAAAGCCAGTAACGTCATATATTATTAATAATATCATTTATATTATTTTAAAAATTAATCATTCTTTATAAATATGTGCAGTTGAGTTTCACTCTTGTTTCATTTAATTTTTTTATTTGTATATATTTAATTTAATTAAGTACAATATAAGTCCTCTACAAACACTATATATAGCTTCCAAATAGAATCTTTTTCACACCAGGCATTCTCTAAACTTGTGACTCCATTTTCAAATCCAATTAATTATCTCGCATATTTACGAATATAAAATTGAGTCTTAGATCCTAAGGCCTAGAGATAAAAATTTTTCTCGAATTGCATTATAAAATAATTATTTAAAATATATATAAAGATGCTCAAAAGGAATAAAATTCGTCATTACCACCGCTCTTTTTTTAAGCAGTTATGCTAATCAAATTTTAAAAAAAGAAATGGACAGTCATAAATGTAAAAGGCTAGACCTTATCAAAACTTTTAATAATATTACAAAAACCGATCCAATTCTGTTATATCCACGTTGGGTAAATTTTCTATCTGATGGCACAATAATTCGACATGTAATTTAAAATATATATATATATATATATATACTATATAGTAATTTTCAATAACAAAGTAATTTGCAATAATAACGCATTTCTAAAACAAATAAGTCATCTCCCTAAGCAAAGTTATAAATCTCATAAAATAGTTGTAGATATTTCTTTTCTTTCTATTATTTTTTTTTGTTCTAACTACTTTTTCTGCAGTTACTATTTGAAAACTGTTTACTTTTCTTGACCCAATTCATGTTCCAACCACCTGATATCGTGAGGGAAGGAAACTGAAAGCCCTGTAATCACAACTTTCTATTAGTCATTTCAATAAAGTATTTTTAAGCACGTAAGTGAATGTTTTATGCCTTCGGAAACGAAATCAACTTATACAATATGTTCGCAATATCCAAACAGAACCGATGAAATCTAAGGAAATGACCGCAAATTGTCGAGGGTGTGTTGGCATTTTTTATTTGCTGTTATTTTTTCCTTGCCTGGCATTTAATTAAACCAAACGCAATCGTCACCGTCATTTTTTAGACCAAATAACAAGTAGGAAAAATCAACATATTTCGTTGATAATCTTTTCCATGTAGTTTCGAGCAGAAATACCAAAGTCAGCTAAAGACTTATATATATATATATATATACAATAACCACCATCACACATACACAGATATATATAAACAAATACTAACACAAACCGCACAGTGTAAAAGCAGGCGTGATTTTATGCCACGAAATTTTTTATATTTCCCTTAAAAATGAAAAATCGTGAAAACGAAAATCGAGGGCTTGATTTTCGAGGCTTCAGTCATCAGAACAGTAATATTTACTTATGAAAAAAGCTATGCTATTCTGCTTTTTATAGTTGTTGAACAATAACATTTTGGATGGAATTTTTATTAACTTAAATTTTAATATTTTACATGCCATGAAACTTTTCTGTTTGTATTTACTTTATTCTTAACTTTGACAATCAAAATTCTTATTAAAGTAGCACGAATTCTACTTTAAATCCAAAAAGTTATTGCATGATTTTAGGCGTTTAAGCTTAAGTTAAAAAGTTAAATTTTTGGTAAAAATTTATAGGAAAATTTTATTTTACACTATGTGAATTAGTGTTTATATTTTTAAAGTATAAAAACTTGACATTGTTCTAATAAACACGAAAATATGTGGTAATATTTCAATTAAAATACAAGAAACAATAAATTTATAAGAGTACAATGCTCCTAAAACACATAATATAGTCCGAAAAACTTCAAATTTCAAGTGAATCAATTTCACTGATATGAGATTTTCACTTTTTATTTGAACTAATATTATATATTATAGTTTTTAAAAGTTCACGAACATCTTGTTACGACAAGCTCATTTTTAGATTGTTTTCATGATCAATAGGAGGTGGAATCCACCTATCAGTTTCTATATCATTCTCTAGCACTATAAAAATCCTAAGAGTTTTCGTGATGAATGGGAAAGAGAATCCACCTATCACTTTCTATATCATTCTCTAGCACTATAGAAATCCTAACAGTTTTCATGATGAATAGGAGGGAGAATTAATCTATCACTTTCTATATCATTCTTTAGCACTATAAAAACCCTAAGAGTTTTCATGATGAATAGGAGGGAGAATCCAACTATCACTTTCTATATCATTGTCTAGCACTATAAATTTAGCGACTTTGATATGAAGGTAATTATTTCTACTCTATCCTGATACAGATAACAAGGGTACACTTATTAGATCCCCTCAAATTCTCCAAAGAGACCAAATAATTGATCAAAAATAGCACACAATGTAATAACAAAAACTACGGTTAGTCTTCTCACTGTTTTGATACATGAGACATCTCAAATATCTGGGTCTCATCCTCAGCTCTACACTCAGCTGAAAGTTGAACTTGGCGAAAAGGGTTCGTAAAGCAACATTAGCTACTTACTACTGTAAAAGAGCTGTTGATCCCAGTTAGTGTCTTTGATCACGCTCTCACTTTATACAGTTATCATCCTACAGTTTTCTTTGTGGCTACCTTTTGAGTGACAAGCTACCTTAACATAAGTTACTTAACAAAACCAGAAAAATGATCACCGTCTAAACTTCACCCTAGAACTTTACGTTCACTTTTACGAAAACTTTTTTTTCTGACTGGTTGTTATTTAAGCGTCTGGTAAAATATTGAACTAGATTAGTGGCGACCAGACTTATGTCAATACTCTCACTTAATGGTTTAAAATCGATATAGAGAACGTGATCATTTTAAACAATAATCTACGAGTTCCTATTTCTGTCGACTGCATCTGTTCCATGCCAAACCTCAAAGTGGGTTCAACTATCTAATACCCAATCCAGTCGTATCTAGACTAGATCTTCCTGCAATCGATATGCTGAAAAGCCCAGCAATCTATAATTTATTTATTGTAAATCTCTTTTGTCTTGGAATAATTTTTTTGCTATTTTACTGAATAGCTTACATTATTTAACCTTGATGTACTTGATGATGATATCAGTATTAAGATCTCTATAAGCATTAGAGTTTCTAATACACCACTGATTTTTTGATATCTTTTTAATATTATTTTTTTCGAATTTCTATAGGTTCTGGTACATGATTTCAACTGCCTTATACCACAACATACAGCATAAATGATCTGGAGAATTGCTTATAGGAGACAATTTCATTTCTCCACTTCAACTTTCCGTTTTTAAAGAAAGTTAAAGTTGATTCAGTTTATTAATACAAAAAAATTTATTCTATACAATATAACGAAAAAAATAATCCATAAAATTAATCACTTTCGTAGCGAACACAGTGTTCCACCGATTGGATTTCTGTTGCATGCACATACGATGTGTTGCAAGTGACATATGGGTTGGGATGTTCTCTAAATAAAGAATTGCCATTAAAATCAACCACAAGATATGCTTAATTAAACTTTTTATTGTCATGGCATTTTTTTAAATATCTGAACAAATGAAAACACTGAAAAATAGTTTGTAGCTATCAGCTACCGTCACAGCGTTCTGTAAAATTACTGCACAAATACGCTTAAGTAGCAGCAATAAATTTCAGACGTTGTCTGCAATATTGCTGTAATTTTTCACACATTTACCAACGGTTAGAGGAAAATAGCATAAATATATATATATATGTATTATGTGTACATATATGTATAAAATACAAAAAATATATGTACTGTAGACTAAACGCGAAATATGCAAATTGTACATAAATCTGTAGTGTAAAATAAAAAAATTTCATCTTCGAAAACATACTCTACTTTTATTAATTTTTTTAACACATTACCATTCCTTTTAAAGTACTTTCGAAAAAAAAATTTAGTGTTTCGTAAAATTTTTGTTTTTTTCTGCATTTCTCCCAAAAAAAGTCTTGCAATTTTTATAAAAATAGTATATCCAATTTGTTGGTAGCGATAAAGAATTTTAATCCAAAAATCTTTACCACATTTTATTGTAGCTTCATCCTTTCTGTTCTTTAATTTTCTATTGATTTCATTTAATTTTGACAGTCAAACAATTTGGTTTTATTGCGAAAAGATGGGGACAGCGCACAGTTTCTGTTTGTCATCTAAATTTCAAAAATTAAAACTTAAAATCTTTAAAAAATACCAATCTACGCTATACTTCTTACCATATTCATCTACTTAAATATATAAGTGGTAAATCTAGCGATATCGTCTTCTGCGCGCCTGAATTCTGCACGATTTGGATGACGTTTTTTTTTTCTTCTTTTTCGCAAGATTTAACACAGTTTCTATCATGGGATAAATAACAAGTAGATCAGCAGGGTGCAATAGACGTTGTACGATATCCTTCAGATAACGTCTATCTATACGCAACAGAACTCTATGATTCGATATGTTCATCAAAGTACGTGCTCTCTCCCAAAATTTTTCTAATATGTTGAAGAGCCTAGTTGCAACGGTGTAGACATGTTTTATTGGTTCAGGCAAGACCCTATTAATTGTTTGGATATATTCCCAGAAGCAGGTTTTACGCAAACGTAGTAAAACAACCTCCTGACTCCGCGTATTGCAGGCAATCTTAAATTTCTTGTATATGTATTTGTGCTTCTTGGCCATGGTGAGCGATATTTTTACAATTTCTCATATTTTAACCAAAACAATATTTGGTCCAGTAGAAGTCCTCAAATAGAAAATCTTTATATAGTATTGTACTATAATATAAATATATAATATTATTTAATTACAAAAATTTTTAATGTTTACAAAAGTACCTTCGGCTAATGGTTAAAAACATTGTAATTGTTTATGTCTTTACTTACGAAAAAAGAAATTAAAAATTCCACAAAACGAATAAAGGAAACTTATTGATCTAAACCAGAAGTTCTAAAGGTTTTTCTTTCACAGATCAAATTTGTGAAAGGAAAGCAAATATCAAAAAATAGATTTTTATTTCACATATCGATACTATCTTTTCGCGGAATACTAAAAATTTCAGCATAATTCAAAGACTGTATTGAATTCTTTAACAGTTTTAATCTCAATTATAAAGATAAAGAATATCATACCTCTCAATGGAGCCTCCACTTCAATATTCCAAATCTGCTTACACCAAATTGTTCAACCAACCAATTCTATTGTTTTTCAAGAATTTCAAAGTGTATGAAAAATTTTTGAACGGCGCAAAACGCAACCGAAATAAACCGTAAACAAAATTTCTATTTCACCAAAAATAATTTAAAATTCAAATAAATTATTTTGAACGTAATTTGATACGTCATATTTTGACAACTAAAATACGGGCAAATAGAAAGTAAAAGAAATGTGTAAAGTAATATATACTTTGATGCAGTTTCAAATTATTAATTTTCTGTCACAACAAGAACTGACAAGAAGAAAGCGACTAAAAAGATTACTTTCTATCGACCTGCTATAAAATCATACTACATATGTAAATACACAAAAATTATATATCACAAAAATGCATATAATGTAGCGACGAAGTATATATACTATTATATGAAAAAGCTAATATACAGTATATTAAGTATTAGTGATTATTTAATTATGCTTTCATTATGGATAACATTAATAAAAAATTAATATTGGAAAAAATTATAAATAAACAGATAGGAATTAAATAAACAAAAATTTTTTAAAAATATATCTATGTATGTATTTTACATATAAATAATATATATATATCATATTATATATATATATATATTATATTATATATATTTTATATCAGTTTATATATATTTTTTTATTTCATATTTATAACAAATTAAGCATAAACCTTTTTTAATTTTAGAATACTAAAATTATTAAGAGTAAAATTTCTTGTAAGAAAAAACAAATATATTCCTTTGCTATTAATATTTCTATTCCTAAAGGATAAATATATTCCTTTCTGACTATTTAAAAAAAAATTTTTATTAATTTTTAATAAATTTAATTTTAAATAACAAATTTATGTAGAAATAGTGTTAATATTAATCTATATTTACACTTGCGCATATACGCATACAAATATAATAACCATAATTGTATAATAATAATAGTTTATTGGTTTAACAAACCAATAAACTGCTGCTGCCTAGTAAAAACAAAACATCAAGATCATTTCGTAAAGAAAATTAAATTAGGATTTAAAGCTAGAATTACTTGTCTTAGACATAGTGAACGTAAAATATAAAAACAAATAAACGTAGAATAATTCATTATTTATGGCAGAGTATACACAAAACAAAACAGCAAAAAAAACACAAACAACACAAATTCAATCCGATCACCAAATACAATGATATTGGTGGTTATCATCAATATTGCATTTCAATTCACATAAGAAATGCACTACAATTGCTCAATGTTGGCATCAATTGATATAAGACTTCCCCTACGCTTACAACGAAAACCAAAATGACATTGATTTTCCCCTATTTGATCTTCAGAATGAATAATCGAATGCGTATTTTTCCACAAGATAGAACGGGTCAGATGATTTCTTACAGCATAAAAAATTCAGCCATAAAACTTCATTCATATTATAAAGTTAAATTCTATATAGGTACATATTTTCGTTTCAATGAAATACAATTTTATTAGAAAAACCTTTCTAATATTAATAATAAAAATTCGAATATACCGAAGGTCTGTAATGGTGAAATCATCATAGTATTAAACCACTTAAAAAATGAAAAAAAATAGTATCAAATTATATATATCAATATATAATGTATTATATATTGATAATATAATAATCAAATTATATACCTACATGTAAAAATATTTTCAATGTTAAATTTTTCTTTATAAAAAACATTCCGTAATTCAAACTAAAAAAACTCAAAATATATAAATTAATGAAAATTACTAAATATTAATGTAACATATCGTGGTAAAAAGCATACAATGTTGACTTACTTAACACACCATTAGAGGTGAAAATATTGATGCATCAACAAACAAAGCTCAATGAATACAAAAACACAAAACCAAGTGTAAAAAGAAAAGCAAACAATTAGGGCACATCAATAGCGTCTTTTACCTCAAATTGTTGTTGTGACGTACTGCGCTCAAACCATTTGTTATTTTTGTGTGGTTTTCTGTTTGTGTAAGCATTGTGCATTCATGCTTCACGCATTTGTTGTTGTTTTTCTTAAATTTGTTTTTAGATTTTTCTATGGAAAATTAAAGGAATAACACTGCAGTGCTCATATACTCATATGATGTGAATGCAAGCATATGTATTCGATAAATGTGTACACCCAAACATACATACACACAGTTGGTGCTGTTTATGTTTATGTTTATGCATATGAAATTGTTTGAAAATATTTATTCTGAATGAGAATGAAATTTAAATTAAGTTATTATTAAGTTATTATTGATTCTTAATAGAGTTTGTGATTAAAACAAAAATATGTAGGAAAACAAACGTTAATATAATCGTAAAATATAATCTAAATATAAATTTAATTATCAATATTAATACTGGTTGTATTTCTTATCAGTGGTTAGCGGTATCTATGACAATGATGATGCTAAAAGCAATATATAAACACTAGGTGAAATTTCCCTGCATATTAAAATAAGGGTGTTTTATATACCCAATGACGATACACTAAAACTACACTAAAAATGCACTAAATTATGATTTAATGCAGGCAATTGTATAAAATACTATTGTTTTACATAACTTTCTATGTTATCTAACCTTACTGAACAATTTTAAGTGGATAGTAATAGAAACTAGTAAAACAATCGTAATTAGCAAAATAGCAATTAGCCAAATAACAATACTATATTCTCTTAGAATCAGAGATAACGTTCTTTTACATTCTACCAGATCTAAGGTCATATGGTAATGTTAATGGCTTATGAGTCAGGGTTAAGCCTTCATGCACTGCGAATAGCTTAATCTATTGTGCACCCCTTTGTATTTAGTAGGTTAGTATATCGAGGAAATGAAGCAGTTCTTTCGGCTGGAGCTTTTGTAGGTCTTCAACTGCTAGTACGTGTTCTTACCACTGCTGTTTATCCCTTATACCTGTACTTCTTACCATACTGCTCTTAACTAACAGAGCAATTATAACTAACAGAGTATAATTAGGGATTAGCCATGTTTATGGCGAATTGTGCTTTACGGCATTGTTTCGATACGCTGATATCTAGTCTGCGTACAAAAAACACTTATACGTGGTATGCCAATTGAACATTATTTTAGGCTAATGTTCAAATTCTCACGATTCTCAAATCGTGAAACCCAGAATTTCGGATTCACTTTATGAAGTGCAGGTGCACTAAAAAATGATCACAAAAAATATGATCACATTGAATAAAATTTAATAAGCTGAGCCTGATTTAAATTTATTGTATTAAATATTAATATTCTAAATTTAAATAGAATTAAAATAAGTTGTTTCAATTTAAAAAATTAATTATTATTTATTCATTTTACAAAAAAAAAAAATTATTTCAAACATTTTATATATGTCTCATTTAAATTATAAGTTCTCGGTGCCTTTTGGGCTAAAGGTATATAAATAAGTCACTTTGCCTTTTTTAAACCTTCATCAAACCGAAATGATAACAAATTTATTAAATGGTTTTATTATGCGAAATATGAGCGCTGAAATTAAATTCATTATTAGGAAAATTTTTCAAAGTTGAATCCTTTTTGGCACACTTCCCCCATAAATAAAACTAAAACACATTTCCTCATCATTACGCTTTATACGTCAACTTATTCTCATATAAGGAATACGAGTATGAAATTGGATCCCAAAATTAACATAAAATAATCGCATTAACATTTTCGTGTTAAAATGTTAACAAGTTTTTTGGGTCCTTTTTATGTAAAATGTTAATTGAGCTCTGGAGTGGGGCAAAACCATTAGACTGACTATTTTGAGTTCTTAGCCTAAGTTTTATGTACGCATCTTTAGCATATATTAAAAAATTGTTAGAGGTATTTAATAAAAACTTTTTTTCATACAGATTTTCTCAATGTGCCGCTATTTGTAGTTTACTAAAAACTTATATATTAAATTTTATAACTTTTTATCATTTTATTAGTGAAATATGTAGTGGAAGCATAAACTATAAATCATAGCGAAGTAAACATAAAAGAAAACCTTCGGCAGCAGTGTTGACACAACGAAAACTATGAAAATTAAAAAAAAAATTCAGAAGAAAAAAGTATCTAAATCTTTCCAGCACTTGACATTTCAAAGATGAGTGTGTCGGTGTACCGTGTCATTATATTAAAATGACACTGATGACATTTTTGATGTTTTACCATCAAAAGGGTGATGTCTCTATTGAAAATAAAAATAAGGAAAATATTTAAAAAAGTATATAGTGAAAAAATATGTAAAAAAAACTTCATAAATAAATGAAAAAAAAATGTTTTTAATGTCAAAATGAAACGTTGTTAGTGAAAAATTTAGTAGCTTTTCCGAAAGTAGCCCTCAACATCGTTTAAAATACTTGTAAAAATTTAAATCTCCAAGTAAAAAATTTTGCAAAAAAACTTTTAAGTGAAAGAATGTGAAATATGGAGAAAAAAAATTCATGTAAATTTTGTTGTAATAACTTTTTTTGTACAATTTTGTTGCAAATTTTGCATAAAAAATTGTATGAAAAATTCATGAGGTTCACTGGCATAAATATTCCGAACTTTGCTACAGTATTTTTATTTTTATTTATACGTTTCGGGTTTCTTGTACTATAGATTTTCCTTAAAGGCATATCAATGCTGATATAAATTATAATATTCGAGTATGAAAAACATACAAAATTTCTCATAAAAAATGCGTTAACATATGCACGCTTTAAATTTGTATCTCATTCCCATAAATGAGTATGTGAAGTTGTAGATATACAAATATGCTTTACGGATATAAAATATCTGTTACAAGAATTTTGAAAAATATATAAAATATTTTATGTAACATAAAATAACTCAGCTGAAATTGAAATGTCAGTATCTGTTTGAGATATACCGTATTGCGAATCATACAAAATGCCGCGGAGTATTTGAGATAATCAATAACGTAAATTATTTCAAAGTGAAAAGTGTGGTATGAGTACAAGTACGAGACTCTCTTGCTATATTAACATACGTATCTCACAAAAGCCCATGAACATAGGAAACAAATGGATAGGGTGGAGGACATGTTACATCACAAGACCTAACATAATACAATTGATTCATAAGCGGTCTACGTGAGGTCAATCGGAGACTCACCCTCAAACTTGAATAAATACCAATACAAACTGAGACATAGACTGTAATTTTATAGAAAACTTCTAAGAAATAAAACTTTTCATAAAACCCCATTGGACGGACAATCAATCAAATTTTTAATCGATTTTAGGACAGTGTTTTCTTAGACATTAATTAGTGCTAACATCATTTAAAGGTCAGTCTAAAGAACACTGACACCTCAAAAATTTGTAAAAGCAGGTAGAAATTTTGGGCCCATTTTATCTGGTCATAGATTGCGATTACCAAAAAACAAGTAAAGTACCTTTATTCGGTTTATATTGAATTGATTGAGGTCTGGCAGTCAGTGAAAGGGTTTACTGAAACCCAGAGTTTCCTCTATATACCGTATCACAATGGGTCACTGGATCTCTATGTTGTTTTTGTAACGTTCTATGCCATGGAGGTTTAACACTACAGTGCTCAAAAACACAACGTATTGATACGAAGCGTTAATCAACGCCCCATTGGAATATCCTTAAGAATTCAACCGGTAACAATGAAGAAATTCGTGTAAGTCATATCTTCCATCTAACACAATGGGTCAATAAGCCTAAATGAATCTTCTAGGAATCACCTAACCTATCTAACCTTCAATGATAGCACACCAGATCTCATAGTTCGCCATTTATAATTGTCCCTTCTAATAATAAATGATTAATTGGTGACCAATTCCACTCTATAAATATTAGTTGTATAATTAGTCTTTGAGTAGTATTAGGCCTAAAAAAAAATTTCAATAATATTTTATGTATTCACAAACAGATATTAAATTGATTTTTAACGTCAGTTTTGAAAGAAACTTAATTGCTTTCAGTAGAGAAGTTGTTATCAAACAGCAGTGAAATAACAGCAGAACAAAAAATAAAAAAAAATTGTTGTTGCTATTTTACTACTGTTCGATAAAAGCAAAATATAGAAATTTGAAAATGTTTACCTTAGGGATATACTTTAGTATCATTCTATTATATAAATATATATGCTAAGTAGGTCAACTAGCATACTTATAACAAATAGATAAAAATTATTATTATATTAATTAATAATTTTTGCATTTTAGATCCTCTCCCATATACATAGTTCGCTCTTATCAAGATAATTTTAAATTTACCTTTCAGTTGACCTTAATTGCATTATGGGTTGTAAAACACAACGGGGGAAGCGAAGCATCCTTTAATTCAATTTTTACTAAAAAATGCCAAAAAAATATTCGATTTTCACAGCTTTTGGACAATTTATTATTACGAAAATCAAATTTCCTTTGCTATTTCCTGCAGCAGAAAGTGTCGAAGTAGAAAAAAAATGCAAATTCATATTTGCTCCTCTTACTTTCGTATCTTTTTGGTATTTCAGTCGTGATCGATTTTTGTCATTTGCATATATCCTTGCATAAGCATCGGCATGAGTCGCACAAATTTACAATTCAATTATTTCAAATTTTGACATATTTTTAGGAATAATTCCAAAAAAAAATATTACAGACAATTTTTACCGATAGAAGACTAAGCTATGGCATGGAAAAATTTTTACTGATAAAAAAATAAATAAAAAATTATCATTGCAAACCATTTACACAGATTCTACATAAATTTTACACCCATTTGAGAATGAACGAACAACACATAATTGATTAAAAAATAATTTAAAATTCTAAGAAATCATTATATATTTTATCGTATCAAAAAGATTGCTTATTTATCGGTTTTGTTTGAAGCTATGAATAATTTTTCAACTAAAATCAATTTAATGGAATATCATTCAATTAATATTTAATATTCTTTCACAAATCAAATCATCCTTTTATTGCAAGGATACGTTCTGTAAACACTTAATACATAATCAAAATAAAATACCGGAAAGTATGTTTTAATCAACAATAGAAACTAACATGCGCCTGAACCAAAAATCTATAAAAACTGCACATAGAATAAAATAGCTCCCAATTAAATGGAAAACTACAGCCATGCTCGATACAGAAACCTTAACTGCACAAAAGATATTCTGCCTTTCAAATGAAAGCCACTAAAATCAAGTGTGGACATTATAACCTCGGACGCGGATAGAAACTCCGGACCGTGCAATCTTTTTCTGACCCAAATCGAAACCGAATAGTCACAGAGAATATGACAAGAGATCTCATTCAACTCCGACATTCTATTTCTTCAGATAAACCCATCATGTTAGGATGATAACCGAACAAATAATCTGCCAACAAATTAACTTTCAAACTACTGAGGCGGGACATACTACTTTAAACGGATGCTCCAGCTTCTTAGCCTGGCGATTATCTGGAGTGCAGCGCCAGCACTCTAGCGACTACTTTCGGCTACCAAAGACCATAGCCTACAGATAGATGAAACAAAACTATATGCTAGGACGACTTCATTTTTTACAGGAAACCAACAGTCAATATGGAACTCGGAGTTTATAATGATAGAAAATATGAACTTTAATGAACTTTAATGGAAATTATCAATCAATAATTCTTCCAAGAGATTATTAGGAACTCACTCATCTATGTATTTACTTAACATTCGATAAGTTTAGTCAAGAATTTTAATCACATTTGAGACTTTTGAACTCATTCTCTCAAGAGAATGGCTATATCACATACCATAAGAATAACTTATTTATACATATACTTACTTAATACTCAACAAGTTCAGTCAAGCCTTTTCACTATACCTTTACAACTCTGCAAAGGTCGCGAGTCCCACCTCACTAACCGAGCACTTCTGTTAATTGGCAATCCAAAAATTTGTATTTTAGTGGAATCAAAACATTTTAAGAATTTTTATTTTATTGAAAAGATATAAAAAATATGTATTATTGTAAGAACATATTTTTGACATTTGATTTTTTTATATTTTTTATTAGATATAATTCAATATTCAAAAACTGCAAGGCCATCTTTATTTTTACAAAATACAACAAAACAAGTTTTTTTTATGCAATAAGAATTTTTATGGTATTCTCTAGATATTTACTAGTTATTTGATGGTCAAATTACCCTCTGCGAGTTGAAGACCAATACTCGGGTGTGTCTATTCTGGCTCGCTTGTTTACCCTGTAGGTACACAACTTCCCGAGTTATATGTGGAATAAATTGAACACAAGTTTTTTATTCACGTAGGTTTTTTTTTGGTTTTCTCTCGATATTTACTAGTTATTTGATGGTCAGATTAGCTGTTGCGTATTAGATACTAATCCCCATGCATACCTATTTTGAAAAACTAATCTGCTCTACCCGAGATATTCTTGAAGAATCTAAAAGAGAAGAATCTCTATTAATCCAGTCCTTTTTTTAGATATCTCTCGATATTTACTAGTTATTTGATGGTCAGTTAACCGTTGCGAGTTGGATACTATTTCCTGAGTGTGCTTATTCTGACAAGCTCGTCTGCCCTGCAGTTACCTAAGATGTTTTTGAAGATTCTAAAAGAGAAGAATCTCTGTTCATCCAGTCCTTTTTTTTAGTTATCTCTCGATATTTACTAGTTATTTGATGGTCAGATTAGCCGTTGCGTATTAGATACTAATCTCCATGCATACCTATTTTGGAAAACTGATCTGCCCTACCCGACAAATTTTTTGAAGAATCTAAAAGAGAAGAATCTCTATTAATCCAGTCCTTTTTTTAGATTTTTAGCCGTTGCGAGTTGGATACTATTTCCTGAGTGTGCTTATTCTGACAAGCAGTTACCCGAGATGTTCGTGAAGATTCTAAAAGAGAAGAATCTCTGTTTATTCAGTCCTTTTTTTAGTTATCTCTCGATATTTACTAGTTATTTGATGGTCAGTTAACGGTTACGAGTTAGATACTATTTCCTGAGCGTGCCTAAAAGCACCTCTCTATTGCTTTAATCTTTAAAGCTTTAAAATATATTACTGAATATATGTTATGCACAGAAAAACTAATAAAATTAATTAATTGTTCATTTGTTGAATTAAGATGTACTCTAAAAACACTAAAATACATGCTTATTCAGTATGGATTCGTTTCCTTTTTCCCAAGTACAGTAAAATTTTATTATAGCATAAAGGAAATCCACTTATTTTGACTATTTTGGAGCATTCTTCAACGAAACAATGCTCTTCTATTGTTCTCAACACCTTAAGTAAATTTTATTGTTTTAATAAAGCTGCCACATATAAATAAATATATACATATGTATATCTTTATACTAATATATATGTTTATATTTATATATATAGCAAAGAGCAATAAAACAAGCCAAAAGTCTAATTTATTATTTGTTTTATGTAGCAGCATACATTTCTATGGCTTAAAGCAACAATTATGTAGAAAAATAAAATCAAATAAATATAGCTAAATTCTGCGTTAGATGGGGATTTATATACACACTCATATATATGTATATATATATCTCTTTTGTATAATAAGAGTATTTCTTTTATAGTTTTTTTAACAAGAAATTGTTGCTTTTTGACCCTGAATTTGCAATTTTTTACAGTGCTTTTACAGTGTAGATATGTACTACTACTATATGTATACATATATATATACAGACAACTTATATAAAGCTTATGTATATTATTTACTATCCTCATATTTACCTAAAGCACATTTTACTTCCTGTTGCTTTCATTGCCTTATAATATAACTGCCAACTTTAACAATTATACTGTCATCCGAGTATATATATATATATATATATATATATATGTGTGTGTGTGTGTATAAAAAATGTATGAAGAAATCCGAAACTTTAGCCACCGTTGCTGGAATGCTGAAACTGGTAAAAATTTTTACCCTCTTCAGGTTGTTCACAACATTTCGTTTTTTCAGATGCTGTCCTTAAGGTTTGTATACACATTCCTTTCCCATTTTCACTGTGCGTGCTCATCATTACCGATATTTGCTGTTTTATATTTTTGTCTTTTATTGCATTCCCTCTTTTTGTTTTTGCAGTTGTATTCCACTCTATTCCGCTGGGGTTTAACCCACAAGGTCGTTTTGTTTTACCACTTACACAGCCGCCTCGCTCGGTGTACATTTGTTCTGTGCTTATTTTTAATTTTCTTCTCATTGAGATCCCTTTTAGCACTTCAAGTCCCACTGGATGGCACATGCAATCTATTGGAGTTTGGGTGATGATTGTTGTCGGTACGGTTGGGAGTATTTGATATTAGTTTGGGAGGAGTTCGAGTTTTGTGCAGTAGTGTAATACACTGGTATGTGCCTAGAATTCTCAAAATATTTTCTCAACAAATATTTTTATTCATTCACTGGTAAAATGCTTTTAACTGCTTATATTGTATTTTATATCCTGCTTATTACTCTTTGGTAACTGCTTCAGTTTCCTCAATATTCTTGCTTATTTTTCATTAAAAACAAAACCACCGGCAATGAGGGTCTCTTAATTTACTCCGTTTTTCTATAAGCACCCGCCCGCATTTTATGGCATTCGTTTTATTAAATTTCACCATTCGTTGTAGATTTTTATCTGATAAATTTAAAGAAAATATATGAATTTCATATAATTCATATTTAAGTTAAAATTTTCACATTTTCTTGAAATTTATTTTGATGGTTGTAGAGTCCATTTCGTAGAGTCAAGTTGAGTTGAGTTCGTCTGAGTTATCTACGCACATCAAATGAACACAAAATTGTTATTTTTGCTTGGCTGAGTTCCTCCTTTCGCACAGATAGCAAAATTTGGTAAAAATATGAAAATTTCTAATTACAGATTCAAATAAAAAAAAACATAATATTCTTATTTATAAATCTATATGCGGAACAAATCTTAATTAAAAATGATTATGCTTTTATGAACACAAAAAAAAAACAAATTAAGATATTTTCTCATTAAAAGTTTTCTTTTTTTTAATTATCCATGAAAATATTTTGCTGAAAGAGCAGTACATGTTGAGAATTCAAACCATAAATCTGACTTTAAAATATCAATTTTCAGAGGAAAAAATAATTATGTATTAATATAATAATTAATATTATGCAATAATGAAATTTATTGATAAATATTCCATTCGATGTATTTTTATATTACAGATTTTTACTAAATTTCAAATTATTGTGTAATAATATTATATACTTATTTTTTAATCTAAATGCGAAACAAATTTCTATTAAGAATTATAATAGTTTTATGGAGAAAAAAAAGTATTAGCCAAATTTCAATAAATTAACTAAAATTTTTGTTATTGTATTTTCACTTCTATTCGAAACCAGCTAAGTTTTAAATACTTTCTTTTCGTCATAAGACGCGTCACTTTCGGCAAAAAAAATTAACATAAAAAAATTAAGATACTTGTGAAAGGAAACTAGGACAGTAATGAAGAAGCAATAACTAAAATTTGATTAATTTATTAAAATTTTTTGCTCTTCATTACTGTTCGAACCCTTCTAATATTTCGTTTAATTATTCTTGTAAAAATTAATTATTTGTTGAAAGCGCAGTGCTTGTTGAGAATTAGAAACATAATTCTCATGTCAAAATATCAGTTTTCAGAACAGAAAATATTTATTTTAAAATTGTTTTTTTTTTAACCGGTAAAAAATCTCATAAGCGCTTAACTTAATTAACTATAATTTTCTTATTCACTAAGAAAAAATTTTTTTTCATTAAATATTTTAACTGATATTAAAAAAATCCACCTATGGGATTTCAACTTCTAACATTGACAATATTTTAACTCCTGATAGGAACCAACATTAGATACATTTTTACAAATTGTTTGTCAGAGATAAAAATACTTATAGATTAGACTTAACTTACTGTAAAGAAAGAGACAATTTGTAAAGACATTTAGCTAAATCACAATAGTACTCTGAAATTATGCATTTTATGGTCCTGACTTGATAGGACTGTTTCTGTGACAAGTTCAATCCATATATATCATAACGCAACTGTCGTTCATGACAGCATATTATTAATTTAAAATTTTAAAATGTGCCATTTTATAGTATATATCATTTAATAACCGGTAAACATGTTAACAATGTAAAAAGGTATATATATGCAAATAAACAATTTTAAAACAAGATTATTCATAAAATTTATATTATCTGCAGTGACACATTTTAAATGATAAAAAAATAACTTTTACACCGCATAAAAGTTTGTAGTGTTGCATTGGAATAAAACTGTGCTACACTGTATCACTAAAATATATGACTTCTTAATGACTGTGTTTGTTTAAAAGAAATTCATAAATCACTATCACCTGCATATTGATATATATTCGAGAGTTGAATAAAACCTCTATTGAGGTTTAACAATTAAATCTTTCCCCTCTATTCAATTCATTTTATATTACAAGGTCTGTAGACATAATTCCAATATATAAAATTCCAATTTCTTTTCAACCCGTTAATGGTGAAAATTTTCAAGATGGCAACACAATATAGTAATTCCAGTATTTATTTAGATAATCGTAATCAATTTTTATGAGTTTATCTAGGTTATTAATCATCTCGTAATTCAGTATTTTCTGAAAATCGTTAGTTAATAAACATAATTACCTCTCCCACATAAATGCGGTTTTAATTAAAATTGTAAAAATAAGTATTTTTTAATTAAAGTGAAGGGAGCAGTGATTTTTATTTAGTTTTGATTATGATAGGCAGATAATACTCATACAGATAGATATATACAGATAGGTCAACAAATTTTTAATTTCTTTTGATTATATTATACAGATAATTATTGATGCTAGTATATATATAAAAGTGTGGTATTTAGTTCTGGGATACTACCCAAAATAAATGAGTTTTATTTCACCGTAAAATAAATAAAAAAATTTTAAAAAAAAATATTTGTTTTGTAATTATT